TACTCTGTTTATTATTTATGCATAGTCACTTTAACTCTACCCACATGTGCATATTACCTCAATTACCTCGACTAGCCGGTGCCCCCGCACATTGACTCTGTACCGGTACCCCCCTGTATATAGCCTCCCTACTGTTATTTTACTTTACTGCTGCTCTTTAGTTATTTGCTTTTATTTCTTTTACTTAAGATTATTATTATATAAAATTGTTTTCTTTAAAAAAACTACATTGTTGGTTAAGGGCTTGTAAGTAAGCATTTCACTGTAATGTCTACACCTGTTGTATTCAGCACATGTGGCAAATACAATTTGATTTGATTTGATGGGTAACAGGGTTGACTTGTTATGCTCGACCCGCTCAGGTTTTTTCCACAAAACACCAGAAAATTGGCAAAACGAGTAGAACCAGCTCACCTGATTTTACTCTATGATTTGACTATTAGATGTTCAATGTTTCTTTACAAATAGTTTTTTACAGGAATAGTTTCACCATATTAAAACGAGAGTTCAGTTCACGTAATAGGGTTGACCTTAAATTGAGGGATAGACTTAAATTGAATGAAATAAATAATCTTTAGAAATTACTTTGTCAGAGCAAAATAATAACTAGGGCTTTACAATGACGGTGAAACAACAATCTGTTGTTGTTAATAATATTCATTAAAAAAAATTATTTTAGAAATATTTTAGAAATATTTTGAGATTTGGTCTGCAGTACCGTGGACCCCACTTTGAGAACCACTGATCTAGGCAACTACATTATTATTATTATTATTATTATTATTGTTTGATACCTGTCAAAGGTATGATTGTTGAATATGGTATGGTTTCTGGTTTCAGGAACTGGCAGCAACGCCTGTTACATGGAGGAGATGAGGAACATTGAGACGGTGGAGGGGGATGTGGGGAGGATGTGTGTCAACATGGAGTGGGGCGCCTTCGGGGACAACGGGTGCCTGGATGATATCAGGACAGAATATGACAGAGCTGTGGATGACTTTTCACTCAACCCTGGAAAACAGAGGTGACTGGGCTGCTCTCTCCCAATCAAAATGACTTCACTTCAGCTAACTTTTGTTGATATTTGATATTGAATAGTCTCGTTATTAGAGATCTAGGAATACCTAAATGATCGTGGTTCTTTTTCATCTCAGGTATGAGAAGATGTGCAGCGGTATGTATCTAGGGGAGATTGTGCGAAACATCCTGATCGACTTGACGAAACGTGGCTTCCTCTTCAGAGGGCAGATATCAGAGACCCTAAAGACCAGAGGCATTTTTGAAACTAAGTTCCTCTCCCAGATTGAAAGGTTGGTAGACATTTTGAATCTGCTATTGAAATGGTAACTGACTGAGTCATCATAACTATCTTTTGTTGTGCAATGGTCTCAACCAAATGTCCTCTTACCCTCAGTGACCGGTTGGCGCTACTGCAGGTGAGGTCCATCCTGCAGCAGCTGGGTCTGGACAGCACATGTGATGACAGTATCATCGTCAAGGAGGTGTGTGGCACAGTATCTCGCAGGGCGGCTCAGCTCTGTGGAGCCGGAATGGCTGCCGTCGTTGACAAAATCAGAGAGAACCGTGGGCTGAACCAAATGGACATCACCGTGGGGGTAGACGGAACACTCTACAAGCTGCATCCACAGTGAGTAGTAATGATGAGATTGCAATTGGTTGAAATGGCATGTATCATAGTCATTACCTGTGTGTTTCAAGTTGACAGTGACATTATGGTGAATGTTGAGTATGGGCCAGCAATGGTTGTGTAGTTTATTGAAGTTATAAAATATTTTTTTTATAGCACATCTTCCTTCTATTCTCCTACATCATTGATTTACATTTTCAGTGTAACAATAGCATGAACAAAAGTGTGTAAGTGAGACCATCCATGTATTTTTCTATCCCTTCACAGCTTCTCGGGGATCATGCACCAGACAGTGAAAGAGTTGGCCCCTAAGTGCAACGTCAACTTCCTACTCTCTGAGGACGGGAGCGGCAAGGGTGCAGCCCTCATCACCGCCGTGGGCTGTCGCATGCGTGAGCAGGAGGAGCAGAAGAACTGAGTCTGTTTGGCCTGCTCCCCTCCTCTTCCTACTCCTCCTCTTCCTCCTCCTCTTCCTCCTCCCCCTCTTCCTCCTCCTCTTCTTCCTCCTCTTCTTCCTCCTCCTCCTCTTCCTCCTCCTCCTCCTTTTCTTCTTCTTCCTCCTCCTCCTCCTCCTCCTCCTCCTCTTGTTCCTCCTCCTCTTGTTCCTCCTCTCTTCTTCCTCCTCTTCTTCCTCCTCCTCTTCTTCCTCCTCTCTTCCTCACCCTCTTCCTCCTCCTCTTCTTCCTCCTCCTCTTCATCCTCCTCTTCTTCCTCTTCTTGTAGCAGCATACCACTCTAGCCATGACACTTACAGTATTCTCCACTTTACCACTCTGCTTCAGAAACCACCCATTGTTCCCCTGTGGTGGGCAGATCTCAAGGGCATCAATGACAGAACATTTACATGCTTCAAACCATTTCCCTTCTTCACCTGCTATTACCAGCCGTTTGCTCTTTGTGTTGATTTGCTGTGCTGTATGAAAGGAACTGGGCTCTTTGTTTTATGCAATCTTATTTGTGATGTTATAACACTGCTTTAGGCATTTGGGTATATGTATAGTAGAGAACAAAGGAAAATATTTCTGCTTTGAATGTCTTATATCTTGCCCAGGTATGTAAATGTCAATGTTATTTATTTTATTTTTGTATTGGGTTGGATGTTTTGACATAATGAGTGATAGGGGAGAATCATTGCAAGGTTAAGAAGTTATCTTGTGAAATGTTTCAAAGATATCAAATGTCAACCTGTTTTGTATTTGCTTGATAGAATTTCTAGGGTTGTTATGAATGAACCATTGTTCCTTGACCTTTGAGTCTCTTTTCATTGCTCAAGGGCAGGCTGCTCACAAGCTCGTTCAAAAGTAAATGTAGCCACACTGTAGGATGCTTCCTCAATGCATTGCTTTGGCAGTCTCTGTGAAACCTCTCAGGTTGAGTCATATTAAGGGCCCGATTCAATCAGATCCTGCTGAAAACCAGATATCTAAAGCAACGGTATCAATAAAACTGGCTTTTGTGAATAAGATAATGACTGAATTCCAACAGTGCACAATGTACAAAAGAAGACATCTATAACAGAATGAATGGAGCAAGATGTGAGTATACGTTTGTATACTGCAGTTGAATGTTTGAGCCTTACTGTAAGAAAATGATAGCTCTAAGATTAAATAATAAATGCATACCTTATTTGGTGTCAGATATCTAGAATACGTTTATTTTGTACAATCATAGAGATGAACAAAACTGGTCCAAATGATGCAATGGGATTAAATTACATTTATTTTTATGTGCAACCAAATATAAAGCTGTTAGTCATCAGATGAAGACCTATGGTAAATACTTTTTCAATAAAGGTCAACTTCCATTCTGAGCTTTTGTTCATGAAATGTTCCAGTGATAGTACAGCACATTAATAATACAGTATAAATTAAACAGTTAAGCCCTTGGACAAAGATGCTATGTTAGCAACAACAAGATTTTTGTTATTTTGTGAAATCATTTTACCTACAATATGTCTGCACAGTCATGCAAAGCTACATATATTTTTCATTTCAGTTATCGTTATAATAAAGTAATTTATGAATTACACTGGCATTATGCAATTATCTTGAGGTGGAAAGTCAGCTGACCTGAGTTGTCCACACTGTTATCAACATAGCCGTAATTAATTTCCAAAGTAGCCAGCACCAGAATATTACAATAATACACAGCGTAACATTTTACAATACTTTAAATGTATAAATTCCTCAGTGGAGTGACTTTTCTATGCTACACTATATCAATATCAACTGTACAAAATACAACAATATTACAATAAGCATGACCTATATCATGTGACACCATAGGTAGCAAAAAATGTAGTGAGATATAACTTTGACAATTTCTTTTTTGAGCACATCACAAGTCACAACATGAAATAAGAGTACTCTCTAGGGCACAAAACAAAAATGAAATACGCACTGTGATATTCAACAAAGGCAATAGTTACCACATATCACATTATCCTTTTTAAATTCACATGCTTTGTTTTTGACAGTTTTCGTTTTCCTAACAATTGTGTTGATAGCCTTTTCTCTGATTTCAGAGAACCATTGAATACTGTACACGGTTACTGTATCTTGGACTGAGAAACACAACATTTTACCCCATAGCTGCAAACATGGGCTCTATCGGACACTACAGCTATCCCATATAACTCTTTCAATCCCCTTGCCACAAAGTCTGTCTGTTCAACTGTTTCCAACTGTAGTCTAATTCTAATTAATTCTAATTCTAGTCTAAAAACTACTAAAAGGTTGCCTCTTACAAGTCAAGTTATGTGGTGTATGGATTTTGGTAACAGTTCTATTGCTGTAGAAAAGATTGCAATATATTCTACTCGAGAACTTTCATTTCCCCAAGATGAGTCTAGGACTACAGTGGTTACATAGTTCAGAGGTGAGCTGGAAAATATTCTGTGTCGTTTTTGAAATATCACAGTCCATTCCTCAAATTATATTGCGGCAGATGTTACCCCATCATTCATTTGTGTAATCTCATTTGTGTACTATTAATAAAGTATGGTGTTTTTTTTGTGTGTGTAAATGTATCAGTCTCTTATCAATTACTTGATATTTCAGTAAATATTTACAAGTGGGTTCACTTGCATGTTTCACAATCTGATCTACAAAGCCAGGTGGCACACAACATTTTATGCTAAAACAACAAAAATAATATCACTACCTAAACACTGCAACAGATAAGGCTTGGTGCTTATGCCATGGGAGTTCTCCTTCCCATTCTCCTCCTGGATTAACAATCGTCTGTGAGGTATTTGGTGTGACTGAGTGACTTTACACAATCATTACATGATTTGTTTCACTTGACTTCTCCTAGCAGCTGTCATCATGAGCTTGAACATGTCCTCATGCCTTTAGCTTTTCATGAGCTTGACTGTGGTGTGGTCATCATGTTGGGTGGAGTTGTGGCGGACCACAGTGCTCTTGGTGTTCTCAGTGCGATAGCTGCGGGTCATCCTGAAGGTCTGTGTGTGCTGCAGTTCCATCTTGTCCTCCTCCGACACCTTGATGAAGGGGAACCAGCTGAAAGCGTGACGGAACCCTGAGCGGAATCTAGAAAGAGAGATGCCAAAGGGAATATCACAAAGCAAGATCACCAAGTTAGCCAGCTAACGTTGATAAACATTCAGAAATGAACTATTGCTTTACTTCTTCATTAATGAAGTTAAATTTGAATGTGGGTTGTATGTTGTTGAATCAATAATATCATGCAACTGACACAATATGAGTTTAGTGATGTCCCTCTGGCTTTACCTTTGGTTGAGGCAGCAGTAGATGATGGGGTTATACATGGTGGAGCTCATGGCCAGCCAGAAGATGGCCAGGTATACCTGCTGGATGTACGTCTGCATGTAGATTTCCTTGTTGAAGCTGCCCAGGATGAAGTAGATGTGGTAGGGCAGCCAGCACAGGGCAAAGGTCATCACCACCACTATCATCATCTTCACCACCTACATGGAGCACAAAACAGCACAACACACTGAGACAGCTGAGCATCTCTGATGCCATGACAACTATATGGACCAGACCTGGGTCTAAGCTCTTGTTTTAGTGCAGCTCAAGCGTTTGAAGCGTTTGTTTTTGGTATGCATTTGCAATGGCCATACTGGTGGAATACTAGACACAGTTCTTCAGTAAATAGACATACAAAAAAATACAAAAAGAAGCAGGTTCTTATAAGCTGTTCAGTGAAGGCTTTGCATCAATATGACATAGCTGACCTTGCGTTTGGCCTGGATCTGATTCTGGTAGTGGTCTGAGGCCTCCCCCGGTATCTCACTGCCCCACAGTGTCTGGCCAATAAGGCTGTAGGTGATCAACATCACCAGCAGGGGGAGCAGGTAGATCAGTACGATCATAGCTATCTGGTATCTGCGAGACAGTAGGATATTGTTCAGGCTCAAGAATTCCAGACAGACGTATGTGATCATGTGGGTTTAGGCTTGGAACATCTCTTAACATTCATTTCCAACCATGATCTATGTTGTCATTATAGCAACTACGTCTATACAGACACATTACTGGGAATGGTATTATGGGTGTCTCACGTAAGATGGTGTTTCCCGCCATAGTCATCGGGCCAGTTGACCATGCAGATGGTCCGTGGTGGATAATGCTGGGTGACAGAGTAGTAACACTGGGGGAAAGCCAGGGAGAATGCCAACGCCCAGATGAGACCAATCACAATCTTGGTGGATGTGGAGGACAGCCTTGGTTGTAAAGGGTAAATTATGGCCATGTATCTGTGGAATAGAAACAAGCAAAAATCAGATACAGTGCATGTCATAGGCTGCTTAGAGTGCTGAAGACTGAAATGTTCTGAAAACCACGGTGACGCTCACTCATCACAATCTCACTGTCATGATGATGAGTGAATGGTAGTGCACTCTGCCGATTCTCATTCTGTAATATATGACGTAACTTCTGATCATCGGAGCTTTGAAAACAGCAATGTCTACAATACAGCTGTATTGTTTTTTAACTCATTAAGATATTTCTAATTGAATACAAAAAGCATGTGGTGCAGCTTTCAGGGTGATGTTGCAGTCAGAGTTAACCAGCTGTCAATGGAATATCTCATTGAATATCATGCATATCATGGAAACACACACATAGTGAGTGAGAGAGAAACAGAGAGAGAAACAGAGAGAGAGAGAGAGAGAGAGAGAGAGCGAGAGAGAGAGAGAGAGAGAGAGAAAGGTAAAATGTTAGGTTCAGAGATGAAATGGGATGTATTTTAAGCCAATGTAACTAACACATTAAGGGCTCTATTAAATCCGCATCGCAGAAGTTCAGCTTTACAGCGTTATTGAAATTTAAAGGCAATGTTCCCGCTTTAGCGGAGACTGCATTCACGGTAAACGCTGCATATGTTGGCTCAATTGGAAATGACATTTACATTTCTATCGCGGAATCTGTAATGCTTCAGCTTTACAGATATAATTGAGCCCTTAAACAGTAGGCTATAGCTCCATAGTGATACGCAGAATAATATACGAATTGCCCTTATATCAACAGAATCGGTGGATTTAGGAAGGCTAGAGCGCTCTTTTACGCGCACAAAGACAGCCAGACAGACAGACTGCACTGTGGTGAACACACCCAGACAAGATGATAAAACCTGGTGAAGGGATACATGGAAAATGGAAAAATATTATATTGTAAGCAAATTCAGTAATATAACAATTATAATGTATTGCACCCTTAGCATCTACAATGCTCAGTAAGCTATATTTGAAGAAAAAAAAGAATATAACTCAGAAATATAATAAAAATCAGAACATATGTGATGATTATTGGATTATTGTACACTTCAATGACAAGTAGCCTCATTACACATTTATCTGAGTGATGCAGCCATTGTGGAGGTTGATATGATTGATTATATGTATTGGGAACGTGCGTGATTTAAAGAACTTCACCATGGTTTGAGTGGACATTTTTACTTTTGATGTCCCTGAACAATTGTGTGTTCTCTACCGACTAGAGTATGCAGGCTATATCACATAATAGGAAGAAGTATGTTCTTACCTGTCAACCGCAATAGCTGCCATAGAATAAATGCTTGAAAACATGGCTGTGATGGGATAGAAGTTCTGAAACCTACAGTATCCCAACCCGAAGTACCAGTCGTTGTGTATAGCATAAACAAAATTGAAGACAGTGTTGAAAGTAGCCATCGAAACGTCAGAGAATGCAAGATTTACTATAAAATAGTTAGTCACTGTCCTCATTCTTTTGTGCGCCAAAATTATCCAAATTACAGTGACATTTCCTGTGACAGACACAATCACTATAAGTGAATAAGCAATTGCCCACAGTGCCACTTGCCAATCCGGCTGTTCAAAACGATTGATGGTCGTCTCGTTTCCATAATCCTGAAAATATATGGTTGTTGATAGGTTGAGGGGTTTCGATGTTGTATCCATCTCTACCTCAAATTGCACAAAATAATTTTGGAAACAACATTGGACAATGAATAATTAGGTCAGATGTCATCCTCGGGCACATTGTCCTCTCCTTGAACAAAACAAATCACAATTTCAGAACCATTAAGGTTTTGTTAAGTCAGAAGACCCTCTCCAGCTCTCCTGCTATCTTCTGAGTAACTGTAGCACCCGCTGAAGTGCGCTCCATCCAACCTCCGGAGCCTTGCCAGTGGCGCGTGCGTAAAGCTGAGCTGCCAGCAGTGGTTGGCGAGCTACGGTTTTGGAATTTGCGCAAGAGCCTACCAAAGTGTAGGGTTTGAGATTTCAGTATGACATAACAGCTGTGACAGCACAGGTGCACACTTTCAACAACAACATCTGATTTTAGAAGTGCTGTCAATAACAAATAGCCTACAAATATAGCCGCATGCAGCAGACTTCCAGAAACCTGCAGAACACAATGAAGCAAAGCAGGTACACAGACAGGAGCAGGGTAGGGGAGTAACTGATTACTTTTTATCAGTTACATGTAATATGATTACAAAAAAACTGTAACTCTAATCTATTACATGACCAGAAAAACCATTGTAATCAGATTACAAATAGTTTAGAAAAACTAGATGATTCATTCTTGGATTACTTTTAAATTCAGAAATGACACCTTTCTGTTTTCTCATTGACATTCAATTCACCATTAAAAAAGGCGCAAGTTTAAGTTTGTTCCACCAGAGTTAGTCTGACCACACTCATTTGGGTCTTCTTATAATGCCTCTTAAGGGGAAAGTAATCCAAAAGTAACTGAAATTAATCAGATTACATTACTGAGTTTGTGTAATCCAAAAGTTACCTTACTGATTACAATTTTGGACAGGCAACTAGTAACTCTAACGGATTCAATTTAGAAATCAAATCAAAGTTTATTGGTCTCTACACAGATTTGCAGTTGTTATCACAGGTGCAGCGAAATGCTTGTGTTTCTATCTCCAACAGTGCTGCAGTACCTAGCAATAAAAAAACTATACACACATAATCCAGATTTAAAAAATAATAAGTTATATAGGATGAGCCATGACTAGAATACAGTATATACATAAAAAGTGGGTGAAACCGTATGTAAACATTATTAAAGTGACCAGTGTTCAATGACTATATGTACATAGGGCAGCAGTGACTAAGGTTCAGGGCAGGGTACTGGGCGGAGGCCGGCTAGTGGTGATTGTTTAACAGTCTAATGGCCTGGAGATAGAAGCTGTTTCTCAGTCTCTTGGTCCCAGCTTTGATGCACATGTACTGTCTCCGCCTTCTAGATGGGTGAACAGGCCGTGGCTCGGGTGGCTGACATCCTTGATGATCTTCTTGGCCTTCCTGTGACAACCCTGGATATGAGTTAGTTAAGCAATAAGGACCGAGGGAGTGTGGTATATGGCCAATATACCACACCCAAGGCCGTTGCGTTGTGCATAAGAACAGCCCTTAGCCGTGGTATATTGGCCATATACCACAAACCCCAGAGGTGCCTTATTGCTATCATAAACAGGCTACCAACGTAACTGGATCAGTAAAAATACATGTTTTGTCATACCCATGATATGTGGTCTGATATACCAGATTGGCTGTCAGCCAATCAGTATTCAGGGCTCGAACCACCCAGTTTATAATATAATTTATATTGGTCATACGTTGGTAACCACACTCCCTCGGGCCTTATTGCTGAAGTGTTTTATATAGTGGATATTGGAATATAAAAGTCTGAGGATTAGTACTATGGCCGGGTTGTTTTCAAAAGCTGAACATGATATCTGCATGCAGAGTACAGAGTCCAACACACCGACAACCACTCCCCAATGCTTCAGGCTCAACATTCCAGATATGTGCCATTCTATTTCAAGTGGCCTACCACATGGAAATAACTTACAACATCATACAGTATGTGGCAAGAAAATGCTTAATGAAAGCTTCTTTCAACTTACTGTCTAAAATCAACAATATTAAATCCACTGTCTGGGTACCATCCAAGTACTCTCCATACCTGAGACAAATACCAGCAAGCCAAATTAATCCAAACAGATCTGTAATGAATCTGCAGCCAGGCAAAACAGAAGGTTAGAATTGTTGAAATGTTCCATTGGTTCAGTAAATACATCTTTCAGAATACCTGGGCTAAAATCAATCAAAATTCCTTAGATATTGTTCAGCCACGTTGTGAAATAAAACATTTCTCTGCTGACATAATATTGAAAAACAGGCAATACCTTTGTGCATGAAGTTTCATGTTTTGGTTTCTAAATTAATAATAGTATCTACATTTGCTACATTTGACAGGGCCTACCCTACCACATTTGAGAGTACCCTATAGAGTAGACAATCTTACAAATAACCACACCAAGGATTGTATATTCCTCAAGATATAGAGTAAACAGAAAACAAGGGAAGCAAGAATAACATTGGTATAGGCCTATATCAAAACCAGGTGTTGTATACAGTGTACCCTACATGTCCATATAATGAATACTAAAATATTAATTACCAGTAAATATGTTTGGTCTGTAATGTCAGAAATGATACATCTTCTTTTTTCATGGTGCAGCCTATGATTCCTTTTTGAATGTACATTGCTTTAATGTGGATGCTTTCATTTCTAAATGGTAAAACAGATATGTATGAAAATACATTCAAATGAAAGGTGACATTCTGTACTGTTGCCTCATATAAAACAATTCCAAAATGCTGGAGTATGGAGACACATTCAAGTTTTAGCTTCACTGTCCAAATAAATATGTAGGGGACTGTAGGCTATAACTCACTTAGGCCTATGCCAGTATATGTGCATTTGATTTCTGCATTGCATTTCTTCCAACAGTGCAACCAAAATAAAACGTAAAATGTTGCCTTACTGAAATACAGGTACAATCAGGAAACGCAAAAAAATTTAACTTATGAAGTCGGCCGTAAGCAAGCTACTAAAATCAGAAGCCACAGTGGCAGAAGTAGCTCCATTCATTCCTCCCAGTGTCCTAATTGGGGCGTCCGTCTATCAGTCAAATATAACTGGTCAGACAGCACAGCGACGCGGAACAGAGTTCCAGGTGTGGGGGACGAGAAACAGGAAGGCCATCGTTCGGGATCAAACATGTCCAATGATGTTAGATATTGCGAGAGGTTCTCCTACGTTTTTCTGAAGTTTACCGTTATTTTGTATGCCACTATCTTCTGGGTGAGTAGCCTATGCATTAATACCCCCGTATCGCCAAATAGATAACCGAGACAGACTCGATGCAAATAACACATGGCGGATGAACGGACTCGCGCATTCCGGCAATTCTCCCTTGCTAGTGTTTGTGACAAAAGGGCAATGCGTAAATATTAGGATTTCTGATAACTTAAAAGCTCTGTTGGATCGACGGGTGCCCGATCTTGTAGCCTACACACGGTGGATTTTGGGCTGGTGGTGGTTTGATAGGCATGGGTATGTATTTGCTACATTGTTTACGTTTTTGCTGGTGGCTCACTCCAGAGTCCGATGGAATTAACATTTTACAGTGTGTGGCTTTGAAGGGCATGTGACAGTATAAGTGCTAATAAATGCAATGTCATGTTTGGATAATTAAACGATTATGTATGAGAGGACCCAGCAAACATGGCCCCATGTGGGCAAGGTGGGCAGGGGCTAGCCCACACCAGCCCAACATGGATATAACCTTACAGTTATAAGTTCACAAGTTCTTTTTGTGCAACTGCTACTGAGTGTCATTCCAGTTTAACTGTTCTGTTGTGTGATGACAACATTTTTATTTTGTACACTGTCAATGATAAAGTATGTAAAAAATACTTTAGATAAGTGCATGTGACATGAGAGTGTCTCTGGTAAAACGTATACACTGAGTTTACAAAACCATTAGGAACAGCTGCTCATAGACTGACCAGGTGATCCCTTAATGGTCACCTGTTAAATCCACTTCGATCTGTGTAGATAAGGGGAGGAGAGAGGTTAAATAATTATTTTCAAGCCTTGAGACAAGGATTGTGTATACACACACACACACACACACACACCAGGGTTTGGCGCCGGACAAATGTGACCGGCAAGATTTTAAATTTACCTGACGTCCGTATGCATTTAAAATCAAATCAAATGTATTGGTCTCGTGTTTAGCAGATGTTGTTGTTGCAATATCTAGCAAGTAATATCTAACAGTTACACAACACATACCCAATACACACAAAAACTAGTAAGGAATGGAATTGAAGAATATATATATATATGGACAAGCAATGACAGAGTGACATGGACTAAGATACAGTAGAATATTATAGAATAGAATACAGTATATACATATGAGATGAGCAGTGCAAGATATGGAAACATTATTAAGATAGTATAGAATACAGTATATACATATGAGATGGGTAATGCAAGATATGGCAAACAGTTATTAAGATAGTAATAGAATACAGTAATATACACGATGACGATGGGTAATGCAAGATATGGAAACATTATTAAGATAGGTATAGGAATACAGTATATACATATGAGATGGGTAATGCAAGATATGGAAACATTATTAAGATAGTATAGAATACAGTTATATACATTAGGAGATGGGGTAATGCAAGATATGGAAACTTTATTATAAGACTAGTATAGAACTACAGTATACTGACATAGGAGAATGGGTAATGAAGATATGGGGAAACCATTATTAAGATAGGTATAGAAATACAGTATGATTACATATGAGATGGTAATGCATGATATTGAAACAGTATAAGATAGGTTAAGATAAGTATATACAGATGAGATGGTTAATGAAGAATGGAAAAATATTAGATAGTATAGAAGACCAGTATATTACATATGAGATGGTAATGCAAGATATGGAAACATGATAAATAGTATAGATACAGTATTATAAATATGGAGATGGGTAATGCAAGGATTATGGAAACATTATTAAGATAGTATAGAATACAGTATATACATATGAGATGGGTAATGC